GATTCAAGCTGAGTGTAATTCAGGCTGAGCGTCAGTCAAACTGAGCGTCAGTCAAGCTGAACTTCAGTCAAGCTGAGCTTCAGTCAATCTAAGCTTGATTCAAGCTTAGTGTCATTCAGGCTGAGCGTCATTCAAGCTGAGCGCTATTCAAGCTGAACATCATTCAAACTGAGCGCACGTTAAGCTGAGCGTCATTCTAGCTAAGCGTCAGTCAAACTAAAATTCAGTCAATCTTAGCTCCAGTTCAGTTAAAAAGCATTCAATCTTTCAAACTTGTTCTTTCTTCATTGAACAAAGCATTTAGCATAAATGCCCGCTTTTCTATCCTCAAATTGAATGGAAATATTTCCTCTAAAAACTTTTCAATTCTTTTTTTCCTTTTTAAAAAAATAAACTTTTGTTTATGTGCAAAAAAACTGCAGTAATTAAGGACTTTGAATGTATTTCACCGGTTTTTAAGCTAGCAAAACTTGTAAATGCAATTGCATTTCCATTACATATAAAAAGGAAGCATGAATAAAATTCCAAGATTCTTATTTTTGTGTTACGATGGAATGATAAGTTGAATAGAAGTTCAAAATAAAAGAGTTTTTTCGTTATTTAAATATTTGTGAAGTTGAATTTAGGGATGCATTTGCTTATGATGTGGGGAAATTTAAAATTAAGCCCCCCCTACCCCACCTGCATTATGAAACATTTTTGATGCCGGTTTATGAGGGGGGCAATATGGGGTCGTTCATTTATGACATCCGAAATTAACGGTCATTTTTCAAAAAAAAAACAATGGAAACCAGGAAGTTTTATTGTTCTTTTCTTGCTGACCCCCTCCTCAACCGTGGATGTAATAAGTGAACAGTCCCTATATGGTATAAATAAAATTAATTGTGACTTGGGCAGGTGTACCAACTAGTACTAGAAATTTGACTCTGGCCTCAATGCTAGTTATTCTTCAGCTTTTTGTGACTATGAACCCCTTCCCTTCCACCTTCTTCACTATAAACCTTACCCTAAAAGCTGCCTGATGGCTTCTTTAAGACTACCCAGCACACAAAACATCAAACTCACTTAAGTTTTGCATCAACTTTTAATTCTAGGTTAAGGTGTCCTGATTAGCACTAGAAACCGGTCTTTAACCACTTCTGCTTTTATATTCCTAGCTAATTTAGCTTTAAGTCTAAACATTTCTTTAAGACCTTTCAGACATCCCTGCAAGTCCATAGTTCCTCACAACACACATCATTTATGAACGACTCCCTTCCTATAATTATGCATTTACATAATTGCATGAAGAGCAACCGAAAGCCTTTGAAATATGCAAGACTTTAAGCAATTTATTCATAATTCTCATATCATTTAAATGCTTTATAGCTATCAAACCACCTACTTTTTTTTGTATATCCAAAAATGCGTCTTTCTTATCAGTCTGACCTAAAACTTTTTCTTATATTTATTTCCCATGTATGTTCAGAAAAAAAGGCAGCAGCTTAAATTGCATGTCGATAACTCTTTGTGCTTCATATATATTCGATTCATATGGAAAACTCAGCAGGTGTAGGTTCTGTTATTTCTTATCAAAATTTTCTTATCATTTGACACTCTTTGCATTTCACCCCGTGCGTCAGCGTCTAATTAACATATGGCGATATAAAATCGATGATGAGACATAAAAAATATATAAAAATGCGCAAAGATATCAGTCACGACAAATATGGCATAAGTGGCTTGTGTCAGCTTAGAGCCAGCCTTGTTTGTTCTCATGTCGAAAAGTGTATGTGCACATGTACGAGGGGAGCACTTAGTGCTGAAACTTTACTGATAAGATAAGTGACGAGTGGGAATAAAAATTTATTTCTTTTATTGCGATGCAAATTGCTATTGTTATTGGAAGTGGGGGATAGCTTTTTTGGCGATAGCTGAATCAATAAATTTCAAATCGAAACTTTTTCAATGAATAAAAAGAATTAAAAAAATTCTCAATGAAAGAAGTCAGCAACAGAAATTAAGCAATTTACTGCCATATGAGGATGAAAAGATAAAAAAAAATGTGTTTAAATTTGCTTAATTACGATAGAAAAACTTATGTTTACTCTTTCATGTGACAATGATTATCGAATGTAGAAGTTATAAACATTATTGGAACTGGAATATGAAGCATGGAAATTATTTCTTTGTCAGTTTGTCTATTTTGAGTATTAACATTAATTTAAGGTTGGCTACAAACCACCACTGGATCTTTATCTGAAGCTTGTATTTAAGGCAACCATTATGAAGAATTGAAAATGGTTGCCCAATAATTTGGAATATAAGCCCAAGGATACAATATTAGGCATCCCTTAGGATGCATCTATAAGGATCTTATTTAAGTGAGTGTAACAAACCAATTCTTATAGAATCTAGATTAATAGACTCACGAATAGCTCTAGGTAAGCTTAGAAGGTTCTAAAAGTGTCATAGCAAGAAGAGAACGGCTGAGAGAAAATGGTGCATATTTCAAACACATAAACAAGCTTAAGTCGCTCTTTGAAACTGATATAAATGGTTTCCAAAGCACGCCACTGACGTAGTTCAAATTTGATGTCAAGTCAGTAAGATGCAGGCCTTATAATGCCTTATAATCAGGGTTTCAAGACTCAAGAGCCTCTTCTAGAATCTTGCAAACTTAAAATATATTCCGATACTATTCTCCATAGTTCAAGGACTAGTTTTAAGAACTACCTAAGGACAACCTACCCTAGTTACAGTCAAATTGTATATTTACTCAAGGGGGAAGTACATAAATCAGTAATTCTCAAACTATGTACCACGGCACACTAGTGCACCAAGAAAAAAATTGATTGCTAAAATTGGTCCTATATTTTCATGATTTATGACTTCAAAAGGGCATGAAAGTCATTTAATGTGCCGCGAAAATTTTTATGCAAAGAAAAGAGCCGTGGACCAAAAAAGTTTGAGAAAAACTGACACAAATACTCAATTCCAGGTTAGGTTGCATCAAGTACCTTTAAAAACTAACCCTTGATCAGAAAAAATGTAAATCCTCGGTAGAATAGTGGTGAGTTTCTCACAAAATAACCAAAAAATGCTCAACTTACCTTTCAGAATGCATTCCTACTTACATTCTTTTATTCGTCTTTCTCCCTTTTCTGTTGATTTTTCTCGCTTTTCACATTCAACATGGAAATAAAGTGACGCGCATTCGAAAATCGATTGAAACATATTCACATTCTTCATTCTCACTTCACACTCGTGTGCTTTTGTTATTATGTTTTTCATTTTTTATTTACCTAATTCCTTCCTGAACGAATGAATTCAATGTGGATTCTTTCACCTGTGTTTCTTTTTTTGTTGTTTTCGGAATATGCAAATGAAATGAAAAAGAAAAATTTATTTGTTTTAACCGATAGAAGAAGTGTGGAAATTGTATTTTATTGTTAAGTGATAAGATTATTTCTCGTTTTTTATTGGAACTCACCTCTTCAATGCTGGTATAATCCATAGAATAATAAAAATGTGTGGGACGTTGATTATTGTTGTTTTTTGGGTGGATTCTTAGTAGGCTTTGGGAAAATTTTTGGAGATTTCATGAGAATAAGTTAAGGTAAGATCGCAATTTTGAGGTTATGTCTTGATCAACAGGTTCTTGTAATAAGGATCTGGAAGGTCTTTGATCAAATTAGAGCTCGAATTCTTAATTCAACGATTTTTCAAACAAATCACATCACCAAGAATCCCAAAATAACAACTTCCATTATTTCTTTGTCTTTACAGGTAGTTCGTGCTGTTTAACATCAAAATAATCCATAAATCAAACGTAAAATTCTCAAGGTAAGTTCACAGAACTCATTATGTAGTTAAATCCGTAAGGAATAGAGCAGCAACCCAAAAAGGGGTATTTAATTATCTTTACTTAGCTTAATTACCACCCTCACTGTTGGCATTTCCATTTTCTTAATTAAATAAACTGCGACGCAAGTGAATAGAAAGAAATTTTTCTTATCAACTGCTGGACATCTTTTTATGTCGTCTAAGTGAGTCGCTGATATACTAATGTTAATGAATGGACTTACGACAAACATTATAATGCCGAAAAGAACAAACAAAACATTTTTCCACCCCCGTGTCTTTATTTAAAAAAAAAAAATCTATCGTCGTGTGATAAGAACTTCATGTTATTACCAGTTATTACCAGTACAGAAAGGCGATATGAATTATGGGTAAATGTCAGTTCTATCTACCTTAATTATCCTTAATATTGTCTCACGTGTAATTGCTCACATGTGTGGACTGTCTTTTGCATGACGTTTAATGTTAAATGTAAAATATTTTCTGTAGAAATGCGCCACACATTCCGTACCCATAATAATTTTCTTTGAATATGTTAATGAATATTCTATAAGGCCTGGACATACATCTACATATTAATGATGAAAGATAATGTAACAAGCAACAGAAATCATTTTATAGCGTGTGGACTTATTTTAATGTTGCGTTTTTTGAGAAGGATTTAAGTTTGATTGTGCACATTGAATGGCTGGAATTTAAATTTTGGGTTTTGTATGGAATTTTTGGATTTTAAATTATGAACTCCAGCCAACTTCACTCTTGAGAATTTAAATTTTACAAAACTGTTAAAATATTTGAATCTTACAAAACCGTTAAAATATTGTTTTAAATTTTCAAAATTAAAAATTATTCGAATTTTACAAAACCGTTAAAGACAACCGTTAGAATATTTAAATCTTACAAAACCGATAAAACATTTTGAATCTTACAAAAACGTTAATATATTCAAATCTTACAAAACAGTTAAAAATCCAATCTTATGCGCTTTAATCCTCAATTTATGTCCTACATACTACACTCCCGATCACTTTTTATGGATCTTTATGTGAGTATAAAACAAATATGTGCAGCAGAGAAAGAGGAAAAGAAAACGGGTGCGATGTTGCGTGCAAAATTGAAGCTTAATATGAATAAACATTACATTATTTATTATCGTGTTCTGTGTATAAGCATTCGTGTATGCTTTATTTTATTCGTTATTATTGTAAATTGAAAGACATAGTTTCCTGCTTAAATTTTTATCTCGACTAAAATTGACATAATTTTTGTGTCCTATTATATTTTTTTATGCTTCAAAGTTAAAAGTTAATGACTTACTTATTGAAAAAAATTGTTCTAGATTCTTAAACAATTAAAATATTTTAATTTGTGCTTTAATCATCCTTAGCTTTGACTGGAACAAAGTTGTTTTGTTTCTTAATGCTAGCGATTCGGTTGCGCTTTTTCTTGTTTGCGATATTCTTGGATACATAGTGAGGCTTAACAAGTTTAAACGATGTCGATCGCTTAGTAGGAATTTCAATACACGGGCTAATAATTTTTCTGTCAGGTTCTTGTGCTGGTTGCTGTAAAAAGGAACATTCTTACGTTCATTAAGCTTAGTTAATTCAATGAATTCTTACCAATTCCAAGTTAAAGTTGACTTTTCGATCCAATTCAACAACATTTAATGCTTCATCGTCAGTGCTTTCTGATGAATCCTCTGGACTAACTTGACGCTTATTAGCCTTACATTGTTTCTTACGGAATTGACGTTTAGGATTCTTACTGACTTCTGACGACGATTGTTCTTGTTTCTGCTCAGGAACATCAGCCTTTTTATCGATTTTTGACTGTGAAGTTTACTAATTAATTGCCATTTAGAAAGTAATAAACAAATTAGGTCGTACCTTATTATGCAAGTCCAAATCAAGGTTCAATTCATAATCTAATTCACTTTCACTCAAAATTTTATTCACGGTTGCATCTTTGTCTTCTTCAAGCTTTTTGAAGACTGTTGGCTGTAAAAAAGATCAGATAAGTGCTATTTAATGCTTATTAGACGAATTAGATTTTACCTTATTCATCCAGTCCTTACGATGACTAAGTTCACGTTTTAATTCGGACATGACTTCAAAAATTCCTTCCCTGGCTGCAACTTTGACTCCTTCAGATGACACTGAGACTACGGCAACGCTTAGTTCTACTGATTTGGAAGACCGACCTTTATTTTCCTCTGTATTGGCATCAAAAGGTAACTGTAAAATGAAGAGTTTCAGTTAAATGTTCATCGAATAAATTAAATTTATATTACTGGTTCAAAATCGTCATCCAGTGCACGAAATTTATACGATGAATCACGTTCTCGCTTCTCTTCAGTAACATTGTAATTTGATCTCTTCTGGATATTTTCACGTGCCTGAAAATTTTCCGAGAATTAGAGAAAAATATAATTTTCATCACCTTTACTTACTTTTGATCTGATTCTCTCATACGTAGGTTCTTCTTCCTCATCATCTGGTTTGAATGCAAATCTATTTAAACAGTTTCCCATTGTTATTTGTTAGTTTAATTAAATATTAAATATACGAATATTTTTGCGTGTTTTGAATGACAAAGTTAAATAACGGATAAAAAATATTCAAAAATTTGAATTTATTCGATCCGTTATGAATTCTAAAAACATTGCAACAATCTCAACATAGTTTAAGGTATAGATGAGAAACAGCACTAGGTTAATGCAGTATAAATTTGATTTAATATTATTAAGTATTGAGCGAGAAATGTCACTTTTATTTTTCAAAACCCTACAACAGTTATGAACCGTATAAGTTTGTAAAGTTTTCAAAATAATTTAAAATTTATAAAGCCGTTAATAATTCAATTCATATCAACAACTACAAAACCTGACAAGGAGGTTGAATGACTAGTGCAAATAGCATACATAAGTCATATTGATAGCCTCTAATAGTATCCTACAAACATCTAATTATAAAATGTCGTAAAGTATAAAAAAATGAATAATATCATGTCATTTCACATTTATGTTCGGCTATCATTCATCTCCGATCTTTAATGTCTGACTATTGATTTCTCAACTGTATAATTTAGGAATGTAAAGTAGATAGAAAAGGAGAAAATAATGTCCATAAATGCATGTCTCATATGTACACTCAGCTTTTATCATAAGACATGGAAGTAAATCATAATTGACATGTGCGCGGCTTCTGATGTTTATCAGTAGTAATTTTTTGACGAAATTTTATTGGAAATGAGTTGTTCACTTTGACTGATTGAATATAGGGATTAAGGTAATTTGAGGATAGCAACAGGTTAAGAATTGAGAAACCGTTATGAAAAAACTTGAATATTACAAGTTCAAAAATATACTCGGTAAAGTTCAAAAATTTGAATTTCCAAAAATCGTTTAAAATTCAAATCTCAAAAAACCGTTAATATTCAAATGTGGAATTGCGCTATTGTCCACTATCCAAAACTAATCATCCGAAATATTATTTTTTTTATATTCATAAATTACTCATCGTCATATACTCTTTCCTTTTGTCGTCATATATGAAAGTTTATAAGGTAAAAAAGTAAAGGCAATCATGTGACAAATGGCAATAAAGAATATTGTGTTCCTACCTATAATGCCTAGAAAATTATCAAGAAAGGCTTTTATAGAACTTATTGCTTTTTAATAATTCAACCAATGACTGAAACTTTTTACATTTTATCCATATATGTAATGAATGTCCATAAGAGATAAAGTAAAGGTAAATGTCATTAATTTCTTTCTTTTCTATTTCCTACTGACAGACATACAATTTACATATAGAAACTAATTACTTAATCTTGACGAAATGAAAGTCTCTGACTGAATAAATTTATTTTTGACATGAGTTGAATAGTTCCATGTGAGTTTAATGAATCATTAAGGTCAATAAAATTTTTCGTTTTATGCTTTAAGAATTTTTTCTATCTGAACTGTTATTGTTGAAGAACTTCGTGACATTTTGGCTGTTCTTGTGACAGATTTTTCTCAATTCTTCGGGCAAAGTTTTTTATTTCTCCACTTTTTCTGTGAAACCAAAATTTTCTCACTTCGAAAAGTTTAGTGCTGTTTTCTCTCAAATTAGGCTTTAATTTGAAATACAAACTAAGGCGGTTGATTAAAAAAGATGGCATGAGATAATCAAATGAAGTTTACAAACGATTAAATCAGTTCTAAGACAATTTTTAAACTAGAAACCAAAAACCACGTGTTAATCAAAAACTTCAAAATCTTTAAACTTACAAAACTGCGTTCCATTCATCACCTAAGCAGACTCTTCTTAACAGTTTTTATTACATATTTCTTCCATTCATGTCACCTTCATTAGTAAGGACAATTTCTTAATTAATCCAGATTGAACTTTTTTTTCGTAAGCGGGTGCTCGTAAGGTGTGTCTGTGTATTATGTTTTTTGATGAAAATTTATTGCTCTACAGCTGTTTATATGGAAATTTTCTTTGCAATCGTAAATTTTAAAAATAAAGAATGAAAAGACATGGAAATGAATTTTTTTTCGGAAGGGGAGACAGGGTAAGGCGATTTTCGTTTTTCTTCAATTTAGGTGTGTTCCATGACACTTCCTTGGGGAGTCTTTAATTTTGGCTTTACATACGCCTCGCTTCTTAGTTGTAGAAATTTTCTCAGGTCACATGAGTCCATGACATACGTTTGATAAGCACAACTTGATGAATATTCCCTTAAAGACCAACACACCTTACAAAAAAAATATTTTTTGGTGGACTTAAAAGTTGCTCATTAGATATAAAATTAGGATTAATAACAGTTATGGCTACTAATGTAGTATTGTTTTATCACCTTTTGGGGTTTAAGACGCTTGACACTCGGCTTCATGCTTGGTCACTTTTAATAACTGTTAATTGTACCGTAAAAAATGTGAATGATAAAGCTTTATTGTTGGTAGAATAAAGAGGCTTGGAATTTTTATATGCCGGTTGAATTCTTGGATGTGTGGCAAAACTGTTGATTCATAGTTTTAATTGAATGTGTGAAGCTTGGATAAAGTTCATCAGCAGTTAAAAATGGGCAATTCCACAGATGAGTGGAATTTCAGAAAAAGCAAATTGTAATTCTTTTTCTACTTGTAGATTTGAATTTCAAAAAACCGTTAGATTTTGGAATAATAAAAACTTGAGAAACAAACAAATTCGATTATTCTACATATTTTATAAATCTTGCTCAAAACCATAAACTTATAAATTAACTTGTTTTCGTCTTTATTTAGTTATCTTTTAACACTTTTTTTTCCTAATCTTTCTCACACTCAAAAATCGTAAACCCTGTCGTAAACAATCACCTTAAATTTTATTGAATTAACTATAACGTATTTTAAAAGTTCAAATTTTACTAAAATTTTGAGGAGACGCTTTTCGTTGCACTATTTCAATACATGTTTTACAAAATTCTATTTTTCTGATTAATAAGTGACTTAACGGCTACAAAGACTTTACAGAATCATAAAGCAATTCAGGTTGTACAGGAAAAAAACATTCAATATTTGTCTAGATATTTAAAAGGTAAAAAAAAACTAATTTTAAAATCAGAATTCCATATTTTGAAATAGTGCAACGCTCGCGAAAAATCAAATATTTGCTTAATTAATGCATATAGAAAGAAGCAGTAACATCCAGAAGATAGAACTCGGCGTTTTACATAAGTATGCACAGTCGTTGGACTGTCTAGATTGCCTAATTAAGAGAAAAATGATCTCAAACACGAAATTTTTGAAAAAATCAATCCGTGGAATTGCCCAAATAAGTTTTCAAATTTAACGGTCGATAAAATTATAAATTTTTTAAATATAAGCGTAGTTTTAGACCCCTTTTATTGTTTGTTTACCAAATCTTGAGTCAAATTTCGTATTTCAAGCCAATCAAAACTTTAACTTAATTATTAGAACTAATCTTTAGCCAGATGAAACACAGTTAATGACTTAAAAATATTCGAGGTCAAAAGAGCAATATCTAAAGATTAAAAACGTGTTGAATAATATCAAAATCATAAAAAAAGTAATTTTAATTTTTAAAAACTTTGCTGCATCTTCTACCGACCATTTTATGCCATCCTAATTCAATTGCGCCTAATAAAATTAAACATAAATTTGTGCTGATCATTTCGAAGGAGAATATGTGTATATATGCGGATATAAAGGAATATTATGTGAAAAAGGAAGGCCTTACTACTCGGTACCGCAAAAGGAGTGGCACAGATGGTTTCTCATCCTCATTCTACCTTAATTTTAATTCTTTATATTATTTTGTCGACATATCCATTGCTTTTATATTGCGAGTTTATTAGTTAAAATTTATATATGGACATTACTTGGTGGAATAAATCGTCAGAATAGGAGTGAATGAAAGAAAAAGGGTGTACGAACTATATGGTCAGACAGACCAGTAAAAGATGATAAAAGTTTGATAATGCTTATATTTCTTTTTATGCAAATTAATTGCTGCGATGTATGTGGATTTTTATTCAATTCACTCAGGTAGTCCATACGTCGTGTGTTGCTGTTCTGTATACGTTATATTGGCATTTACAATAAGAAGCAAATAAAATATGTAAACAGCTACGACGAAGTTGGATGGATACAATCATGCGATGATTTTAATCTAATTAAAATAAAATTAATTTGTTTGTCGAAAGGATCGTATCATTCAGTAAATTAATATTGGCCGGTAAATTGCCTTTTTAGTCGCAAACAAGCAACACCATTATTTGCTGCTAATTAAATTTCTCCTTTTTTTTAATTTCTCAGTAAAGTTTGTTTTTCGTTTTCTTTATTGTAAAACTCGGAAAGTAAGGGATTCGGAAATTAAGCGCAGATTTGTTGAATGGGTTGAAAATTTGCCATCTTAGGTTAAGATTTTGTCAGCTAAGAAGTTTTTCCAAGAGGATGAATTTTTTTTCTCATCTCAAAAAGTTCTTTTGGGATTATTCTTTAATTTTTGACATAATCAACAAGTTTTAGCTGCTAGTTTGTGCAAAAAGATAGCAGGAGCTACATTATGGTCTATTAACCTTCAAAAACTTTTCAAAATGAACCAAAAAACGCAAAATAGTTACAAACTAAGCCAAGAAGACAAAATTAACTCAAATTATTTTTATCTTTGTCACAAAAAACATGTCTGCAAAAAGTAAGAAAATTTAATTAAAAAGTCAGCAGGCGTGAAAAGGAACAACGTATACATCGAAGAGATCTGTTGTTTACTATAAATAAATCCGATTCTAATTGCTTCACATTATGCAAAGACATTAAACTGACCGGATATGTAACCCTTTCGTATACAGCATTGACGAAACGAATGGTAATACTACCCTTGAATCGTTACTGACAATTTTCTTCATTTCCATGTGTGATAAGGAAGAAATTTTCTCTCGTACGATAATTAAAAATATTCTTATTGCAATCAAAACACAAGCTGAAGGCAATGACGGAAGTAAGACGAAATCTTTCTGATTGCCATTGCCTTTGGATAGTTTCTAATGTCCTTAGTTAAAAAACTTTAAGGATTCACCCTAATTTAGATGTCTTTC